GGATATAGCTCGCTACCAGCCTCGCACCGAGGACCTATCCACGTCATCATTTACCCAGAATGCTTTGTGTGGAAATAAAATGGCTCCGTCCATGTTGAAATATAGTTTTAAACTCTTAGTAAAACAATTATAAAAACTAAACAGCCTACAGTATTTTTATAGTCTTTATTTTACAGTTAAAATACATGTTTATTAAATACAGTCTAATGTTACAACTAATCGGGGATCCTATTAAAGTATTTTAACTCAGACCACTTTCTGAGGCAGTCTGAACTCTTTTCCAAGCTGTAGGATCTCCTACTAAACTGACATGACCCCAAACAAGCAGCATTTATTACTCGGATGTCTCAGTGAAATAAAAATGTCTTGTTAAGTGCCATTGGTGGGAACATTCTGAAGATGACTTTTCTTTTTAAGCTAAAACTTTCTAAAACTAATCCTTCTCATTAAAAATATTAACATATGTGACCCATCACATCAAAATGAGGATTCAGTCCAAAAGTAGTATAAGGAGAAAAAGGCAAATATAGTGTTTTGACTAAACTGTTAACAAAAATTGCATTTTGTCAAAATATAATGAATAAAAGCTTATTAATGTATCATTTGAATGAACTGTCTGAAATATAATCATGAAACAAAATTTTGAAGCACTTTTTGAGCAGTAGCAACAAAAAAACTGATTTTGAGGAAAAACGCCTTAAAATTTTAAGATTTTCCCTGTGAGCTAGCAAAGTTTAGTTTCTTTTTAGCTGGGAAATCTCAATATTCAAACAAAATTTGAGATTTCTTCTTTATAAGGACATTAAAAATTCCTCATTAAAATGACAAAATTAGGATTCAGACCAAATATTTATGTATTATTGTAAACAACAAGACAAATCAAGTGATATATATGGATTTAATTATCATATCAGAATGATCCAGGGATCAAAATGTAGCTTTTAAATTCAAGAATCTGAAAATGTAATTAGGTCATTTTGACCAAATTTAACTTTATCCTCATTTCGATATGATGGGTCACATTTTACACAAAATAAGAATTACTCTCAAATATTGTTCACAAATTTGTCTAAGTGTGTGAAAGTGCAGGTGTGGCATATCAAGATCCTGATTCAGCATGATTATTGCACAGGTGTGCCTTAGGCTGGACACAATAAAAGACCAGAAGGGGGGCRGATAGATATTGGACAGTTCCTGTAACAAACTGTCACATACACCGATCCGGTGACGTTTGGTGAGCACCATGCAAGAACTGGGATGTTTTCAGCTTCCAGGAATTGTGCACAGATCCTCGCACCATGGGGCCGTGCATCATCATGCTGCAACATGAGCTGATGGTTGTGGATGAACGGCACCACAGTGGGCCTCAGGATGTCATCACGGAGTCTCTGTGCATTCAAAATGCACCTGTGTTCAATGTCCATGACACCTGRRCATACCAGCCYGTTCGGATGTTATCAGTCCATTAAATGGACGTTATTAGTGTTCATCAGTTCCATTGAATTGCTTCAGACTGTCCTGACGGTGCCCCCTAGTGGTTACCAGTGCCATATACATTAGAATGCAACAATCTGCTACTGCCGGAGTCTGGTCTACTTTATCATAGGCCATGTCATTTTCTCTAAAATTAACCTTATTGGTTTTATGCCTCATATTAACCAGCTGACAGTCTGAAGCCATTCTATGGGACTGATAACGGCTAATATCCATTTGATGGATGATAATATCCGAGGTGGGTGCCCATACCATAACCCCGCCCCGCCGCCACTGTGYGCCACTCAATCCACAACACTGACATCAGCAAACTGTTCACCCACACAACYCCACACATGCTGTCTGRCGTGGCGTTGTGTGGGTGCCGCCAGGATCCATCCATGAAYAGCAAATCTCTCCAATGTGCCAGACGCCATCCAATGTGAGCATTCACCRACTCACGTTCGTTACAATGACAAACTGCAGTCAGGTCGAGATCCCAACGAGGACAACCAGCCCGAAGAAATTTATAGTTATTACAGGTTACTACTGAGGTTAAAAACACAACACTATATTGTTTAAGTTTTTCTGTTTATAATGTTGACAATATTTAATCTATTATAT